AGGCCCTCTCTGAATCCGCCCGTTAGGTTGGTAAATCGGGTAGGCAATCAAGTAGACATTTTACGTGTTTTGTTTGTTTGTTTTGTTTTGTTTTTTTTTTTTTTGCCATATTTGACAGAAAGCTAATAAACTTTTCAATTATTCTGATGTTAAAAGTTATTCATTCTTTGAAAGGCATTTTTTGAGTGAAATGGCACGTTTAAGAAAAACCGGTTCACATAGGCGTCGGAACCGGGGGGGGGGGGGGGTATTGCCCCCCCTTCTTTTTTTTTTACAAAGGTAGACATAATATAGGCACTGAAAATTCGGGAGTAGGTCTAGCCTCCCCCCTCCCCACTTTCTACAGGCACGATTCATTATAGTGAAAGAAGGGTAATTGGTAGTGTTTAAAAGAATTTGGTACTGAAAGATGTTCGACCCCCCCCCCCCCCCCCCCACACACACACACACACCCGAAATAGGATTTTCGGGTTTGGAGAAAGAACAATTTTCTTTTTTTTTTTTTTTTTGCTTGTCAAGTTTTTTTCAGGTTTGATTTTTTTTTTCTAGTTCAATTAGCCACCCCACTATCAATTTCCTTCCGACACCAATGGTTCATTAAAATCGGATTTGATCTCCCGGAAGTCAAACATAAAAAATCCGAAATACTTGTTCATTATCTTCATGTCAAATTAATTAAAGAATTATCACATATACATGTAATTATAGGACTATTAATACAAAGCCTTGTGTCAAACTTTAATCACGCGTAAGTTGCTTGGTTTAAGGATATCCGATCCTCAGCCTTGAAGGATAAGTCTTAATTTTATCATTTTATTCAAAAAGGCTAAAATGATTTTAATTTGGTTGTTTGTTTGCTGTTTAACGTCCCTCTCGAGAATTTTTCACTCATATGGAGACGCCACAATTTGCCAGTGGAGAGCTGCAAATTCTGTCCTATACTCGGCACTTACGGCCATTGAGCAGTGAGGGATTTTTTTCGTGCCAACACCTACTGTGGCACGGGACCTCGGTTTATGGCTTTATGCGGTCTTTTACGAAGGATCGGTCTCAACGTCCCACTGTCGGATTCGAACCCGTGACGTAAGGATTGACTCCTTATTCCGCGTCTATTAGAACAGACACTCTAATCACCGTGCCACGTTGGCGACGGCAAAGATGAAACTTGAAAATGAAATGTTTTCATGCAGCAATTTTTATTTTAAGCATTTCAATGTGATTTAAGGTTTTCTGAAGTCTTAGAAACAGTCTTATAAATAGTTGATATTAGTAATTTAACACCCCCCCCCCCCAGAAAAAAGTATTAAACAAATTACATATTTAACGTAATCCAGTTTCATTCCATCTTCTAGCATATAGATACATGTACCAGTGCACATTTGTATATTATGAAAATAGAAATGATTTATGGTGTTTTGCACCAGGTTCTTCCCGGATGATCGGATCTGGTTTAATAATCCTTTTTTTAATTAAAATGTGTATTTTGCATAAAAATAGCATTTTCAAATAAAGAAATCACTATCAAAAAGAAATATTTTTTTTTAGTTAAAATACAGTGTTTAACATCGGAATAATTTTTAAGTTTATTACATTTTTATCAAATATGTCGAAAAAACACACACACATAAAATATCGCCAACCCAGTCTACCCATTTTACCAACATGGAAATCAACAATCGCCAAAAAAAAAATCTAAAATACTAAGTACTTATAGCACAATAGATAAAATATTAAATCAGAAAATTGAAACTGCCTACCAGTTTTACTTGAAACCAAAAATCGTCAAGAAAATCTAAAATACCAAGTATTTAAATACAATTTTTACAACGAAAACACATTAGCCTAAAAAAAGAGTGAAAATTTTAAATCAGAAATTTGAAAAATCTCGAATAGTCCAGGCTTTTAAATTGCCACGGCCCGGGTTTCCTATTTTCAAACACTCTTTAAAATGGATCCGGAACTCCGCGCATTTTTTAAAAATGTTTTTGCAAGAGGACCAGTTTAGATGATGATAAAGAAGTTACCACTGCATAACATGAAACGACTAATGCATATAAAGATTTGACCACATCATATAACAAATTAACAACATCATGTAATTTTAAAATTAACCACCTCATATAAAGATGTTACCACTGCAAAGTATGATTTTAGGAATATATATAATAATTTTACTATATAATATGATGATGTTAGTACTGCACATAATAGATTTTTCACTTCATGTAAAGTTGTCGCACTGAATGAAATTAACTTGCCACTCCACATGCAGCGGGTTTCATACAATATAATGATTGCTTTATCACATAAATTATGTTTGTACTGTATACACTGAATTCATCACAGAAAGATATCAGCAATGTATAAAATGGAAAAACCACTGCATATAATGATTTTACAACATAATGTATCGATATTATCACTTCATTACATTATTTAACCACTACATATAATGACATTGCCACTGAATATAATGATAAAACCACTGCATACAATAAAGTTATCAATGAAAATAATGATTTTATCACTGTATATAATGATAAAACCACTGCATATAATAAAGTTTTCAATGAATATAATGATTTTATCACTGTAAATAATGATTTTATCACTGTATATAAAGATAAAACCACTGCATATAATAAAGTTATCAATGAATATAATGATTTTATCACTGTATATAATGATTTTATCACTGTATATAAAGATAAAACCACTGCATATAATAAAGTTTTCATTGAATATAATGATTTTACCACTATATATAATGACTTAACCACTTCACATAAAGGTTATACCACCTGATATAAAATGAAAATGACCTTCAGGCAGCTATGGCGTTCCATAGTTGCAACATACTCAAGATTTTGTTTTCTCGGATATTTTATTGTGCTTATTTATTTTATTGCGCACCTATGTCAGTGTCTAATGGGGATTTAAGCCTTGAGACTAATTTTATCATTCTGTTTAATTATTACCAAATACATGTATAATTGTATGTAATACACAATGGTCCACGATTATACCTAAATTTCCCAGAGATAAAACTACTCCCTTATAGACATCTTTTGAATACTTAGTATCGCAATTACCTCGAATTATATAACTTACTGCGGCTGTTTTGCGATAAAGTCAAGAAAGTTATAAATCTCCCTTCATTTCCGGGGCATAACATATTGTTTACATATATTGTTTACGCTAATGACAATTGAATGATACAAACAATAAGTATGCCGAATGTACAATGTAATGCCGATGGTTGCACTTCAGAAAGCAAGTCAAAGTATTCGGAATATTTAGACTTCCAAAATAACGTTTATCAGAAAGAAAATAATTAAACTTACTATTAGCTCACCTGAGCTGAAAGCTCAAGTGAGCTTTTCTGATCACCCGTTGTCCGTCGTCCGTCCGTCTAGCTGTCCGTCCCTCTGTAAACTTTTCACATTTTCGACTTCTTCTCAAGAACCACTGGGCCAATTTTAACCAAACTTGGTACAAAGCATTCTAGGGTAAAGGGAAGTTTAAATTGTTAAAATGAAGGGCTAAGTCCCCTTCAAAGGGGAGATAATCAAGAAAATACAAAAATTTGGTGGCGTCATTAAAAAATCATCTTCTCAAGAACCACTGGACCAGAAAAGCTTAAACTTATGTGGAAGCATTCTGGGGTCGTGTAGATTCTAGATTCTTCTAATCATGACCCCCGGTGGTAGGGCGGGGCCACAATAGGGAATCCAAGTTTTACATATAAATATGTGGTAAAAATTATAAAAGATCTTCTTCTCAAGAACCACTGGGCCAGAAAAGCTGAAACTTATGTGGAAGCATTCTTGGGTAGTGTAGATTCTAAATTGTTCAAATCATGACCCCCAGGATTAGGGCGGGGCCACAATAGGGAATCCAAGTTTTACATTGAAATATTTAGTAAAAATATTTAAAAATCTTCTTCTCAAGAACCACTGGACCAGAGAAGCTGAAACTTATGTGAAAGCATTCTGAAGTAGGGTAGATTCTAAATTGTTCAAATCATGACCCCCGGTGGTAGGGCGGAGCCGCAATAGAGAATCCAACTTTTACATTGAAATATGTAGTAAAAATCTTCTTCTCAAGAACCACTAAGCCAGAAAAGCTGAAACTTATGTGGAAGCATCCTGGGGTAGTGTAGATTCTAAATTGTTCAAATCATGACCCCGGGGGTAGGGTGGGGCCACAATAAGTACTACGGGGGGGGGAGAGAGAGAGAGAGAAATCAGGTGAAAAACAGCAAGACCAAAGTTACTCAGGTGAGCGCTGTGGCCCATGGGCCTCTTGTTAGAATAGTCTACTTAGCGGGAAATATCCACAAAAATTTAACACAAGAGAGCTTGCATTTTAATTTCATAGCGTGGTGCACCGAACATTTAGCAAGGTATTTCACCAGGGCTTCTTTCTTATATATGTCCCTTAAAAATCTGCAGTGATCGATCTCGAAGTGTAGTCAATAGCTATAGCACATTGTCCTCAGCTATTAATCAACGTTTCCTACCTTCAACGCAAAAGAGTTTCATTACGTTAAGTAATAGCGATAGTATTCTTTCTTTTGTTTGAAATAGGTTAAACTACCCTTATGGCATGAGGTTATATAAAACTAAAATTAGTCGTACTTTAGAACACTTAATAGGTGATGATTAAACTAATACTGAAAGTTAGCAGTTATTGGTAATTAAAACAGTTTAACGATTCGAAAGTACTTGCAAGTACTTCCATGACCAGTCATAAAAGGCGTTTATCCTTTTTCAGGGAAACTCCGAGCAGGTTTAGTCAGTATTGGATACGGCATATTATGTCGATATGGGGGGGGGGGGGGGTAAGGACACAAATATTGTTTTAAAAGTATTCTAAGTTGAGAGGTGACGTAAATATCTCGTTTTTGTTCAATTTGGGTCTGATACACTCCAAAATTTTTAGTACAACTATAACCAATACTTGCAAAGATAGTTTAAATTTTTATAAAAGCCATAAAAATGCGTAACAGGAATAACAGCCTAGTAAGTAAGTAATACGATAAAATAAACCAACGGGACGGGGAATACAGTGCAGGTAAGGATCCACAATTTAAGATAAAACGGGGAGTTGTTTTATTCTCACAAGTCCATAATTGCATTTCCACACATTTCTTAAAACAATTATAACGGAATAGGTGAATGACCGTTGACGATTTAAATTCATATTTTGTTTTAATGCATCGAATAGTAATTGACAAGTAAGTCACTTGTTTTATAAGTTGTAATGGTGAATGAGCAGGCCCTGGTCGACGGTGACCATTTGCGTTGAGGTACTGCCGCCGTCACCATGGTTCTTGGCACCCCCATTGGTGGCGGTTGCAGTTCCATGCTTACTCGTGGTAGACACGAGTATTCATGGCCCTTGCAAGTGGCGTATCCCGTCGCACCTCAACGCAACTGGAAGAGTGCAACACACATTCCATTGTTTATCCTATTGGACATGTAAATTGAAATTCAGGATTTGAATTTGTGCATTGGCTTGTAATTGACAAGCAGTTGACTTGATTGATATTGAGTTGATTGATTGGTTGATGATTGATTGATTGAACTTGATTGATTGGTGATTTATTGATTGAACTTGATTGATAATTGAATTGGTGACGTTCATGCACTTGTGAACTACCCAGTACATGATCCGCCTGGTTTGGGTCGTCACATTTGTTGTATTGATTGTTGATTGTGTGGCAGTCCTGTGGTAGCCCCAGCAAATTGATCACCGCGGCCAGAAGCGCCAAATTAAACAAGCTAAATAATATCTGTTGTTTGTTTGATTAATAGGGAATCTGCAATAATACCACTTATACGAGCCTGGTCTCGGATAAGTGAGTTTATTTCAGTAACCCTAGTAATATTTATCTATTCCGGATAAGTTACGTACATTCGGATAAATATAAATTTTCACCCTTAGTCACAAGCTATCATTCCGGATAATTTAGGTCCATTTGTATATAGTCTAATAATAAGTTCTTTTCTACCTGCTTTCTCGAAGAATCGATTAAACGGTAAGGTCATGGAAAATTTTTGGGAGTTAAATTGTGGCAATGTTTTAAATTTTACCCACCCACCCTCCTCTTGTTTTTAGAACAAATACTGCTGCTTTTTGTTATGTCATTGTAGCTGAAGACTGCCTGCTTAGCCCAGCTTCCACAACAGCCTATGCCGCGGTGGTGCATTATGTGTGTTCGCATATTCCGTAGGGACAGCTTGCTTGGTCCAGCACCTACATCAGCCTGTGTGCCGATGGTGAATTTTGTGTGTTTGCTCATTCCGTAAAAACAGCCTGATTGGTCTAGCGTCCACATCAGCCTATGTCAAGGTGGTGAATTCTGTCTGTTTACGTATTCCGTGATGACTGCCTGCTGGATACAGCGTCCACTTCAACCGATGTCGCGGTGGTAATTCTGTGTGTTTGCGTATTCCGTCGCACTTCAACGCAACTGGAAGAGTGCAACACATATTCTCACGCTCATTCCATTGTTTATCCTATTGCACATGTAAATTGAAATTCGGGATTTGAATTTGTGCATTGGCTTGTAATTGACAAGCAGTTGACTTGATTGATATTGAGTTGATTGATTGGTTGATGATTGAACTTGATTGAACTTGATTGATAGATGATTTATTGATTGAACTTGATTGATAATTGAATTGGTGACGTTCATGCACTTGTGACCTACCCAGTGCATGATCCGCCCGATTTGGGTCGTCACATTTGTTGTATTGATTGTTGATTGTGGGGCAGCCCTGTGGTAGCCCCAGCAAATTGATCACCGCGGCCAGAAGCGCCAAATTAAACAAGCAAAATAATATCTGTTGTTGGAATCTGCAATAAAGAAAAAATGCGATATACATGTATACCCTGATACATGTGAATAACATCATACCTTTTCAAAAGCAGTAATGCTAAATCTATCATACTAAAAGGAAGCAATCGTAAACGAAAACATTAAAATCAACTATAATTTTGAAATATTTTCCAGTATAAAATGTCGAAGGACATAAATTGCTAAAGCCTAGTAAATGAAATAATAGAGAATTATAAGGAACATGTATGGTAGAAAAACCAAATTATGAACAGATTAAGGAATAAAGCTTGATTTTTTCGTTTGTCAGATACATGTTAAGGTATGTCACTCGTCAGCCTTTTAGAAAAGTTCAGTCAGAACCTCTTACTTAAAAACTATTTATTACAATTCAATCTTTATAACATTTAAATTAAAAAATGTAAAATGTTCAACATTCAATTAAAAAGCTGCTCAAAAATTCACAAAGAAACAAGAATTATAAGGGACTATTTCTTGTGTTGGAAGGATATTTAGCAGAAATTTCTGCAAATCTACACATTTATTATATTTAATATCTTGGAACTTTAGCCTCACATACTTTTACTCAGAGAATATATTCCCTTATGATATGTCTGGAATATTAAATATAGGTCTCAATTTATATTTTTATAACAAAAATTTACACCTTTGCTCAACAAATTTTGCCAAGAAATGAAGATATATTAAAGAAGTCAAGATAAAATTTAAACAGTTTTTTGCCAGAAAATCGCATATTTTGACCAATATTTCAAAATTTACATCACTGGTCCCAACTTTTTCTTTCATTATTTTAAACTACTCGATACTTTTGACCGATCAGCACTTAAGTCGTATAAAGTTTGATACAAGAAAATATTCTATTGCCTTTTTAGATTTTTAATACCCCAAATATGAGACTTTTTTAGTGCAAAAAGGTCACACAATAATTCACGCGCATTAATTTGCATGATTTGTTCAATGATAAATATTATTCAAACTATTTTACGTAAATTAAGATTATGTTTATTGCCATGGTTACATCTGATAAAATATGATAACGGTTAAAGTGATTAACCAAAGAGTTACAATTAAAGTGCAAAAAGGTCAACTTAATTGTACCGTATCTCAGTTAGATGCACACTGACACCCCCATTTTCTCTGCGATTTTGAGTCATACTATATGAGTACTTATCCAAAATATACTTCTCAAAAAATCCTTGATATAAGAAATTCCACGAGTGACATACCTTAATGTGAAAAGAAAGAGGGATTTGTATAAGAATCAACCACACTCTGCAAGACTTAACTACGCAAATTGTCGGGAAATTTGACATAAAATGTAATTTAAGGAGGCATACACAGACCTGTTTACTCTTACGATTTCGACGTATTTTGTACGGATTTTGAGTCCTAAATACGTCTCACGTTTTACTTTAATGAAAATACGGAAATCCGAAATCCGTTCGTTTGGATTTTAGCAGATAGTTTTCGTTATGATCTGTCTCAGTTTGACGCTTTTTAATCACTAAAAAAGAAAGATTTAAAACACTTAAGTGATGTCGGGTTGCCAAAACGCGATGGTTTCTCTGGTAATATATGTAAAATCGATGGAAAGTAAAATCTTACGGGAAAATGCTAAATCTCACTGACAAATCTAATAAAAAATACTGAGAGACAACAATATGGGTAAACAGGTTTGCATATAGTTCATTCTGTTAAATACGTTAAATATCTGGAACTCATCCGTAATAAAATTTCTAACTTTTAAATGAAGAATTAAATCGTACAATCATTTGAAAAAACGTCCGTCATGATTATATCACGTCATGCGATTAAATTCCAAGATAGAATTATATAAACTCACGCCTCAAACAAATCAACCAGCAGATTTTTAGACTTTGCCTGAGCAATACTCCTTTTATCGATGATGAAGAAGTCACCATTTATTATTCTTTCATATTTCTTTATTTCTGGAACTTTTAGATATGTTCTGTCAATTTGAAATGATTCTTCAAAGGGGAATTTATTGTTTCGCAGTCCAACATCTGGGAAGTCATCCAGCATTCTGCGGGATATTCTAAAACAAGAATCTTCGTTGCGCTTTTCAATGGTTCAAAAAATTCAGAATTTGGTCATGGATGCTAATTTCAACAACAACATTACCGAAATATTGAGACAGAATTTAAGCTTGTTCACTTGGAAAACAAAGTAAATGTTGTACAATCAAAAAACCAGAGACTTGAAGAAACATTGGATGAATCATTGGATGATTTCCGTGAGGACCAGAATATCACAAGGATACAGTTAGAGAATATTGCTTCTCTTCATCATTCAAGTAAGACAATGCTTGTACTCATTTTTATAAGCACTATGAGAAATTATTACAATGGTAAGTGTTTCCATTCAACATGATAGTTCGAGTACAGTTATTGGTGCTAATGAAGTTAAAGCAATACTTTGCTCCCAATGCGATATATAGTTTGATAACTGTGTGTGCAGCTGTTTCTTGAATATATTGCATTTCATTTCATTAAAAACAGACTTTTTATGACATATTCAGACTTAAGGCTGCAACTGTGATATTTCTCAGTTACTTCAATTCCACGAAAGCACTTCACATATCAGGTTGCAGAATAGTAAATGAGTTTACTGTTTAATTTTATGTTTATGTCGCATAAAACAAAAATAAATAGTATCAGTGACGTGTCAAAGTATATTAGGAAGCCGTCTTTAGTCTAACTACTGTAGATCACTATATTTTGCGACACCTTATTTTCGCAAGATAGCTATTTAGTATTTATAAGCGAGACAAAATTTTCGAGAGTTTTGGTTTCTATTGTGTCTAATCCTTAACAATACAAATATATACGCGAGAGAAATGTTTTTGCGAGCAGACAGATTCGCCTAATAACGCAAAAATAAAGTTCTTGCGAATAAAAAAGTGATTTACAGTATTGTAGTAGTATTGCAATTGATATATGAACCCTTACTAAGTTTAGTTTGTTTGTTTTAAATATGCTAAAATATTTTTGAATATCAGGAAATCGCATTGAATTAAATTGACATGCTTATGGCATGTCAAACGTTGCAAAATTTGATCTTTTCCATTTGCATTGTATAATTTTCCATTTGTGTTCTATAATTTTCTCTTTGTATTGTATAATTTTCATTTGTATTGTATAATTTTTATTTGTATTCTGTAATTTTCCATTTGCATTGTATAATTTCTTATTTGTATTGCAAAATTTCTTATTTGTATGGGATAATTTTTCATTTGTATTGTATTTGTTTTATTTGTTTCGTTACGAAGTATTTCATTGGTCAAGTTTTAGCCTGTATCGGGTTGAAGATGTTCTGGTCGGTTGCTCAAAGCAAACTGGGCTCTAATATGTATTTGAGTGCATGTTAGACGGTCACTGGATTTTAAAAAGGGAGCGCTGGCAGATGGCAAATAAATAATCTGTCCTTAGAAATGTTGACTGAGAAAATAAATAAATTGACCTTGAGTGATGATTCCTACCCCCAACCCCCAAGAAACTGAGTTTTCGGGTTTGGGCAGATTTTCTTCTTTTCCTTTTTCTCCTTGTCTGTGGTCATATTGGAAATAAATATTCGGATTCGACAAAATTTGCCCCCCCCCCCCGAGAATCAAATGGTCGTCCCTTAGCATGCACGCAAATAGAGGAGCCGAGTTTGTGTTTGTAGAGATTGTGCGATCGGAATTGTGGAAAGGATACCAGACGAAGTTTGTGTTGGGTACCTGAAACCTTTATACAGACTAATGACCAATGAAATCGTTCGTTACGAAATAAATAAACAATCCTCGGATACAATACAAATGAAAAATTATCGCATACAAATAAGAAGTTATGCAATACAAATAAGAAATACAATGCAAATGGAAAATGTAGAATACAAATAAAAAAAATATACAATACATATGATTTTTTTACAATACAAATGGAAAGTATACAATACAAATAAATGTTATACAATACAAATGGAAAATTATACAATACAAATGAAAAATTATACAATACAAATGAAAAATTATACAATACAAATAAAAATCATACAATACAAAAGGGATGTTATACAATACAAGTGGAAAAGATCGAATATTGCAACGTTTGACATGCCATAAATGCTAGCATCGTAAAGTCAGCATTGACTTGCCTTCATCAGAAAATAGCCGGTTTTTCTTTTTTCTTTTACTTTTCTTTTCTTTTTTTTTTCTTTTTTTTCTTTTTTGCAATACAAAGAAGAAATTATACAATGCAAATGGAAAATTATAGACAACAGAGTAAGTAAAATAGCTTACTTGTTTGATTTTAAAATTTTTGGTACCATATAGGGGATTTATTCTAAGGGTTGTAATTTAACGTCCTTTTCTCTTTTGACCCAATCGCATTTGATGAAATTACTACAAATTAAAAGTAATCTCCATTTGCCTGTATCATTTTTGTATAGCCAGATTGAAAACTCAGAGTAACCTTAAGAAAAAAGTGGTAATGAAAAAAAAAAAGAATGACAAGCACAGCTTGTAATTACTGAATAAGTACGTAATAATATATTTACAGGTAGTGTTGATTCACATTTCCAAATAAATGATATATTTCTTTTTTGAAAACTTGCATTTAGGGAGTAAATAATTCTGTTAATTGCAAATACGATCCCTGAAAGTTGTTATCCTCTTACACAGTATATAATAAGTTATATAATAAAATTATTTCAGGCATCTTTTGATGCAATTACAACTGTAATGCTTAAATTTAATTATTAACGTCTTAAAGCAATGACCTACTATAAAACAGTTGAAGCTGCATCTGGCCAATTAGCATTATTATTCGCATAAAGGCAGCAAGAACGTGATTTAAAAAAAAAAAAAAAGACATCGATGGTGCGACCAGATTTGGTTGCTGCACTGTAATTTTTATTTTTAATAATAAACCTTCCGACTAATAGGACCTAATAGGACCTATACACATCACAAATGTAAGACATTTTGGTATGGAATCATTCATTTTTAAACAAATTGACATAGTGAAATTTATTATTTTTCAAACAAATTACTAGGATTGTAATGACATAAAACAAAATATGTCTTATAACAAAGTATGTTCTTATTCATTTAGGTTTTTTAATAGGTTGTTTTTTTCCCTTTTGATTGTTACGACATCTACAATTGTGGAAAAAGGGAAACAGGTGTTTATGAAATATACCCTATCACAACCCGTGTTCCTATTCAGGTTCTGTGTGAGATGGATTTAACCGGAGGAGGGTGGACGGTAATATAACGTATTACATGTATATCTAAAGCTTTAATTAAACTCTGTCAAAACTTCTATTTTCAGAGTTGAATAGTAATATGTTCAGCGTCGGTGGGTACTATAAAGGTAAATAGACTTACTTTAATAAAAGGCTGTAACGCTAGCGGTTCTGCTAGAAATTGTTTTCATAGTACAAATAATTCACTCAACTCCTTTTATAAATGTACCATTCGCAAAGAAGACGTAAGATAAACATTAACAATTAAATTTATTAAGTGCATTATCAACAAACAATTTATTTAAACGACGACATTCACACCACATTCATACCGAACTAATAATAATAAATGTTTAATAAAAATAAATAATTAAATCATACCATAAACTGATAAAACAGACTGAAAAACCACCCTCAAAAACCTAACGTCTATTTCCTATGCGTATAAAATATGTGACAAGCCGTAGTTATTTATAATTTTAACTTGTAAAACTTAACACCAAGCTTTACTGTATTTAACAGGTTAGCTTGTTAAACTCCTAAAATACTTTATTAAATAAGGACACAAGCCGTGGTTATTTATAACTTTGACTTGTAAAACTTAACAACAAGCATTACTGTATTTAACAGGTTAGCTTGTAAACACTAAGGGCAAAGAAAGATAACTCTAATAATCATAAGTAAGTTTATCGAGAAGCAACGTTTAAAAAATTCAAAGTACTCTAATAAAATAATTTCTATTAAAAATAATTGAAGAAAAATTTACGTATCTAGAATAATTAAATTACTGTATGAAAATAAAATAAATAATTGACTCTCGTTGAACTAATCAACTTTAGTCATCATAGAGAGAAAGATAGCAAACGTTTAACTTTAGTTATACAGTTTGCATTAAAATAAAAATGAAATAAAATAGAGTAAAAAAATGTAAAATAAAATAATCCTAGATAAATTAATTACTGAAGAAGACTACTCAGTCAAAGACTGTTGAGTCTTTAAAACAACCGATAGCGGACAATAGTATTTTACTATTTAATGTCCTAGTCGGTTAAATTCTATCCTAACTAAATAAATCAAAAATAAAATAAATTCCTAAATAAAAATAAAAGATAGACAAAATAAAAAATTAAAATAAAATCCTAAAAAAAATCTGAGAGTTCCGTAAAACGGACCTACCAAATCAAAATAAGCAGAAGAGTGACTAAAAATTCTCAGCGTCTAACTTTTATATGACTTTATGACAGAAAATAACGGAAAATGCTGGGAAATGACGGATATTAACAGAATTATTAATTATGAAATTTCATTGGATTATCAATTAATGATCAATTATATCGAACAATCTGATTGGTCAATTGTAAAACATCGCGATCTTTCACGTGAACAAGTGTCACCAAATATTCTATACAAGTATGAAATAATGAATTCTTACATATTTATCAATTAAATAAAAATATATTTCACAATAAACAATTAAAATATAACAAATTAAACTTAAAACAATATTCAGTTTATCTCCAAATACAGTCATTCATAAGATACCGCCATTCAAACACGATATATTTATCGGTTATATTACAAATGCAAGGATAAATTTATCAATTACTTTAACAAGTTTCTAAACCGGAAGTACATCGTAATGAAGGCGAAACTGTCAAACAATGTGACAACAGAAGTTTAGACTATTTCATAGGTATTATATCAACTAAATAACACTAACCAAACAACAATTACATACTATTTGACACACCTAGAGTCTTAGGATGTATACTTAAGTGCTGATTTACAAATGACATACTTTATTAATCTTTTACCAAACTCTAACTCAGTTCGAATTATCTCAGTCATGTTTATGTTATCAAAATATATCAATCTACCCTTGTTTCACAAGTATATACATTTACAGTTAAGTGACTTAGGTACAACTCTGCGAATAGAACATTCATATAAAACAAAATAAAATTGTGAATAAACAAACTTCATCAACCCGCTCCAAATCACCACAATGCATGATAACATATTACAGACATTGACTCTATTTGATAGAAAAATCAACCCGCTCCAAGCTCACACAAATATAGTAAAATATTACAGTCATTGACTCAGAATGATTAAACACTGTTGTGGATAAAATAAAAAATTACACCATGTAACCTAACATTACTATTATTACATCATTTAAAAAAAGGGGGAGGGGGGTCACATGCACTACAAAGGCATTGGTTTTAAGACAAAATACAGAGGTAGTTAAAGCACTATCTAGAACTAATGTATCTTTTGTGAATTACATTGATACTTCAGGTAATGCAGCGAAGGAATCGAGAAAATTCCTTTGTCAATTTCAACACCACCTGGAATGAATACAAGCGAGGTTTTGGTGATGTTAGAGGGAATTATTGGCATGGTAAGCTTAGCATACATGTACCTTCTAGTCATACACTTTCATGATTTTTTTTATTCTATATGCATGTAAGTGTACTGCTTCTTCTTATAATTTTGTGAGACTTATGGCACATTTGTATTTTCATGGCACAAGCCATACAGAAATCGATATTGTATCATTTTAGTAGTTACTTGAAAAGCTTGAAAAGTAAGTGGTGGTGTCTCCATGTGAGTGAAAAATTATCGAGGGGGACTTTATAGAACAATCAAACAAAATGAAGGTTTGATAATAACGAATTATACACAAATACCTGAATTGCGTCACTCTTAAAGAGTGCAAAGGTTATTGCATGTGTACGAAGTGATCAGAACAACAGAGAAATTAGAACAGATAAGGTTTATTCATGCATACTCCTTTGAAGATATTCTTTGTTTGGATTTTTTTCATCGATTAATTACATGTAATTACATGTAGCAAAACATTCGTAGTAAAAATCGTACTGGATTAAAGCCAATGCATAAACTCAAAGATATCTCAATTAGATATGAAATAACTATATTTTCTGACTTATCAGCTTTTTTCAGACTGTTTTGAGTTAATAAGGGACGCGTATTGAAATATTAAAAAAAAAACATAAGTAACTAGTCCAGTATTAAATAAAATAAGTTTAACACTTGCCTACTAAATGATATGAAAATAATACCTTCCAGTATATTCCAGTATGAAATAACTTTACTACACATGGACAGACCCTTAAAGTTTATGCCAAGTAATGGAATTGGAATCGTTGATGTAAACAATTGTGTTGATTATAAATGAACTTCAAAGTTTTCTTTTAATTCAGGAAACAACGCGATTCATAAGTTGACCGCAAAATACAACAACTCACTGTTCATCAGATTTGAATCTACAAAGAATGTCATTTGAAGTACAATATTCTTTATTTTCAATCTCTGATGAAACTGATGGTTACAAACTATCCTTGGGGGAAATGTCTGGAAAAATTGGTAAATAGTGTTTTCATGTCTTCTTTTCGTTTATTTTAATATTTTATACGGACATAAAAGATATATCAAAATAATCAAAACGAAAATGCAGTGTATGTAGTTGTGAAAGGCTTTTTCTTCAAATTATCTTACCCTTCACATCCGATCTGTATATCTAAAGGACAATTCATTCTTCAAACGCATAAAAATGAATTTATGTTTATTGTACTCATCTCTTTTTCTAGTTGATGCATTCAGATCGTACATGGTGGTAGACTTTCCTTTCTTCACATTCGATCATGACACCAAACTGGGGTGAGCGGCTCAGTATGGATCTGGATGGTGGTACAATTGGTGTACACGAGTCAATCTTAATGTTCCATTTTTTAAAGATGACAATAATTATGTATGGGATACTACTATTCGGAATGGCAGTGATCTTTCATTTTCGGAGATGCTGCTTAGAAGAACGTAGTGTAAAAAAAACCTTCTTTTGGAAACTTCTTGGGGTATGATTAAGATATCACAAATGCTAATAACATTTGCTTCAACGAAAGCAAAAAAAAAAAAAATATCATTACTATGCAGCTTAGACATAATATTTATACTTATGGCCGAATTTAGTTTATGTAAGTTGCATCCTTCGCAAAAAGTTTGTAATTTGAAATTATAAAAAAAACGCAATCAAACATAAATGCTCCATTAACAGTCTTGATTTAAAATTTATATTCAGATCTTTGCTGGCAAGTTTAACTAATCTTTCTTTTCAAGCTTAATTTATTATTATACAAAACATCTCATTTCAGACAAATTATGTAAGTCAAATTAACATACATGATACATTCATGTAATCAATATTTTCATTACAATGACCTTAGTTATATCCTTTTATAAGAAAAAAGCAAAAGGAAAGCAGGTTTTAGTTTCATAAATATTGATTTAAATGCATCAACCGATTCGTATATAGTTGTTTATCTCTTTTTTTCCTTCTTTAAAGATTAAAATTGAACAGAAGAAAACCTGATCATAAATGTTTTTAAAGAACTTGACTCCTGAGAATGAACAGTTCTTTCTGGAGTTAAGTGATAGCATGAAAACCTATCCATGTTTCATTGTATATTGTTTATCCATTCATTTGTACTTTTTTTCTTTTAATATGTTTTTATAAAAAATTAAGCATAAAAGTATTAAAGCATTAATTTCATGTGCTTGTTTTACATATTCTTTTTTTCAAATAATGATGTTAAAGCTTTAACATGTTATAACTAATAAAAAAAACAGTAAAAATACAGTTCTTGACATATTTCATGTAAAACAAAAAAAAAAGTATTCAAGTGTTAGCTGGTTTTTCTATTTATAACCTTTGTTAAAACACATGTATATAAATGTATAGAAAGTAAGAGTTTGAGAGTAGACCAAGGCCTCTCTTGGTTGCTGAAAATTACAACTTTTACAGAATTAATTCAAAATACAACAACAGTTCATGGAAATTTTTACCTCCAATCTTGTTTCTGATATTTTATACATATATAAAGTTAGGCGCAAGTGAGCTTTTCTGATCAAAACTTGTCCGGCGTCCGTCAATCTTGTATGTGTCAGTTGTTGTCTGTTAACTTTTCACATTTTCGACTTCCCCAGACCCATTGTGTCAATTTCAACCAAACTTGCCACAAAGCGTTCCTGGGAGAAGGAAGGGTCACGCCATCTTTCAAGAAGAGATAATTACGACTTGGTAAAAATCTAATGCATTCATTTAAAATATTAATCTCAAGAACAACTGGGCAGGAAAAAATGAATCTTATTCCCGTTTTCCCTCAAAACAAGACCCCCAGTGGTAGTATGGGCAACAACAGGTGATCAAATTTATACAAATTCCTAATTTGCGACCCTTTATTAGCAGACCTATTTTTTTGTATTCATATGATGCAGAATTTATTCAGAAACTTCTTCATGAAAAGAAAAAGATTCTTGCTGTGGCCTCCAATTCAACATTTATATATATCGACGATGTTTTATCAATTAACAATATTAATTTTCATTTCTACGTTGATTCGATATATCCCTTTAAACTCAATATGAAAAGATACCACAAGCTGACACATTTGTTTCATAGTTGGATATTTTACTAGAGAAAGACGTTAATGGTAACGAAACAACAAAACTTCATGGAAAAGTGATTGACTTCAACTTTTCTATCCCCCCCCTTATGTATGTAACAACTTACAATTATCACCTGCATTTGAACTTTATGTCTCCGTTGATTTGGTACGCAAGAGCATTAAAACAAGGCAAGTCATCGACCTAATGATAAGTTGTATTTGCTAACAATGTCATTGTATCGAGCATAGAATTTGCGAAATACTGTCTTTTAAAGAGATTCTTGATATCCTTTTATCATAACAATTATATATTTTAAAGTCACAAGGTAAAAGATGAGGGTCAAACTGAAAATAGAAAAATACTGACAATTCAATATCTTTAGAACGCTTTGCTTGACAAACATCCAACTTGGTACTCTGGTTTTCTACCTCCTGTGATGAAATTTTTGCGTCCAGTTGCATATTTAACACAAAGAATTGACACTAATGCAATCTAAAGCAAGTCTGAAAAGAGTTCACAGTTGCAACACGTATATTCTTTTGCTCTCTGTTTTTGAGACATTTGGTCACTGAAGTTTACATGAAAGTGGCAGATTGCATCGTCTGAAATAGGAGTCAAATGTTTTGCACAAAATCGTAAATCAGGAGAGATTATTAGGTTTTTTTCTTAAAAATTCAGAGCTTACTAATGGATGCATCAGATAGACAAAAACAAAGCCATACTCCAGATTAAGACGAGGCTTGATGACGTGTAAAACATGCCCGCTCATTGGAGGCAACGGAGAGAAACAACAACATCAATCTTAACCATGAAATAACGGTATTCAAGCAATACTGACTGGAAAAGAGCAACTAAATATGTTCAAAAGCGTAAATATGGACTCTTAAAAGCATAAAACTCTTGATGTACAGCACAAATATAATCAACTCGAGAATGAAAACGACCACAACAGACGTAACGGCTTTGATGTTGAAAGATACTCAATAATATCAAATTACTTTCCGTGTAATTAGTTGAAAGGGGCGGGGGGGGGGGTTGCTGCACTGTAGTTAAATACAATTCAGAGAAAGTTTTAATAATACATGTAATTCCAGTTGATTCACATGAAGGCAGCAGATTAGATTATCTTATGACGACAGATGATCTTATATTTTCAGAAGCTATAAAACAGTAATCAGAATATGATACAGTAGATAATTGTTTGTTTTTTTTTAAGATTATATGCTTTCTGAAATATGAATAAGACAATGGAAAATTTAAAATTCATTGGAAAAAATCCTTTCTTAGCGTTACTTACTTAATATTATACTGGGAAAAGATTTCTAATATGCGTGCTCTACATTTCATTTTTTTTTTAAATATTTAAAACATTGCTATATTTTCATTTATTTGTTCTCACAGTCTACAGTTTTACCGTTGTAGTCCTTTATTAGTTTTAGTCTAAAATTAAACGTCATATAATATAAGAAAGAGAATTAGGAAATTGCATGATTGTAACGTTGTCTGTACTACAGCATCAACATATTTCAATAATGCTGGTCTAGAGAGGAATCAATAAAAAATCAAATGTCACTCTTCAATTAAAAAGGGATTTTTAAAAAGGTTCTTTCTTTTGGGTTTTTTTTAAAGCATTATACATTTCAAATGGAATCTTTTTAGTTAACTATTTGATTAATACATGTACTGTGAATGTGTTCAAAAACTATGTATTTTTATTCCATAGTTATACATTTCTGGTAATCATTTGTTTAAAAAATAATCACATAATTATTAATAAGTACTTTTGTTGAAGTACTTTTGTTGATAAATTCAAACTATGTTACATTGCCAGGACACTGCTCCTACATCCGAGTTGTAGTAGGCGTCGAAGCATTCTGTTTATGCTTTGCCAACCAGCGTAAGCCTATTACCATCAATAATATCCACTGCCTTTACCAAATCTTTGTTATCGCTCAAAGATTTAGAAAGGATCTTGCGGTTTGATCTTTCTGATCAATTAAGAACATCATTTTGTTCTCTAGGATACCAAAATAGGATACCAAAGTTACCAAAGACTGTGTCGGCACAGACATTGGAAAGACAACGAAATAGACACCTTTTGTAGAAGAGAGAACCGCCACTCTGAGGACTCTTAAGGTAGTACAAAACAAATTTTTCCTCAAATTCAAATTGTTTGAAACTTTGATATTTTGTTCTGAGATGTGAAATCTCTCTTTATGTGTTATATAAAAGAAATATTGAGCGACACAATTTTCGCCCACGTAGATTAAAATATAGCCTAACTTATAAAGGAGACCTATATGTTTCTATACATCAGTAAAATGTATTGATACCAGTGTATTTGCGTGCACTGTGATGTAAAAATAGAATATTGGTAGCTCAGGAATTGCAAATTCTCATGTAAATATGCTACACATTAATTAAGATTTCTTAAAATAAAATGTACAATTCAAATTAAGCAAAGCAATCAAGAGAATGATTGAAATAGAACAAATTAAAGGTTTGAAGTTGTCAAATGAGGAAAATTGATGCATGGGTTTAAGATATTTCGGAGATTTAAAAAAAATAATTTGAAAAAAAAATAAAAGAATCAGAAAATGACATCATAATATTTTACCTTTGTCCTCAAAATATGATCTTGAGATTTACAGTTTATAAAGCAATGAGACTAATGACATTAATTTTTCTTTATTTTGCTACGTAATCCAGAAAAGGTCAAAACAATAAAATAGTTCTGTAAAGTATAATTTCATCAATTTCTAGTAAGGATATGCGATATTCACCTCAACTTTTCGATAATTTCTTAGCATTGGAGAGAAAGCTGTAGTTAAAAATGTTAACTTTATTCTCTAGTTTTAGAAAATTTCATTTGCTTTGTATAATGGGAATTATTTACAGAACGCCAAAAGCTTAATATTTAAAAGGCAAAGATAACGAACAGTGATCGATCTCAAAAAATCTATAAGCAATTCAAATTTGTGAACAGAGTATAAAACACGACCCCCGAAAATTCCAGAGATGTGATCAGATGCCTACGGGGAGTAAGCTTCCCCTGTTGCCGGTCACACGCCCGCCTTGAGCCCTATGCATTGATCAGGTAGACGGAAAATTGCGTAGTCAAATTTAGTGTAAAAAAGCCCAACAATTGGTATCAAACACATCAGCCAAAATACGACCCAATTATAGGTTATATTTGTTATCAAGATGATAATAATGAACATAGAATTGACAAAATGCAGGTCTGGACGATTTCCAAATATAGAAGTCAAGAACGATAACTGAAAATTGCTATAAATGTATATCATATACATGTATATATTTTTCTGCGCAATCAGACAATAGCATTTTTACACACCCAAAACATATTTCAAAGGAACAAAAAGAGAACACGTGCTTTTGTTTTTGTCCTCAAAAAGATTTTGTTGACAAAAAATCTTTAGAAGTAAGATGAAAAGTTTGAGAATAAGGTATTTCCCAAATATTTACCGTGAACAAACCTGACATTTTCATCTCGGAAAAAAATTAATGCATGTAACTATGCGATCGTTTATGGAGGAAAAGATCACACCGACAAGCTATTATCAAGTACAATTATAACACTTAGCAGAACATACTCTTATGTTGGTAAATATAATTTTGGTTAGAAGTCCGAATTTCATAGGTAACCGAAGTATCCATGCGTATAACTCTATTGCACACAAGTATTCATCGTATAGATTACATGTACTTTTAAAATAACACTGGTTTCATGAGCGGAGAATACCATTTTATATACACTTTAAATGGATGGATATAAGGAAAGGTGGAAAGCATGGAGAAAAGGGAACGTTCATGAATGCTTCTTATCACCATATCTTACATGTACCTCGCATATCAGAAACTGCATGGACGAGTTTGTAATAAACACTCAGGAAATAATTAAGACTGTTATATTCCCATACGAAAATTTTTTCATGTCAGCTAAGCTC